GATGTGTTTTCTGTTTTTTGTTTTGTTTTGTTTTTTGAGTTGGAGTCTCACTCTGTCACCCAGACTGGAGTGCAGTGGCCGCTCCTGGCCACCGCAGCCTCGACCTGCTGGGCTCCGGCAATCCTTCCGCCTCAGCCTTCCAAGTAGCCGGAATTACAGGCGCACGCTACCACACCCAGCTAATTTTTTGATTTATTGTAGAGATGAGGTCTCGCCAAGTTGCCCAGGCGGGTCTCAAACCCTCAGGCTCAGGCGATCCACTCACCTCAGCCTCCCAAAGGCGCGGGATTACAGGCTGAGCCACTGAGCCTGGCAATTTTCTGTTTTTTAAAATTACAAATTATACATGCTTTACTACAGTTTTACCCAAGTGGATTTTTTTTTTAGTTGGTCTCTGTCACCCAGACTGGAGTGCAGTAGCACCCTCACAGCTACTGCAGCCTCAACCTGCTGGGCTCAGGTGATCCTTCCATCTCAGCCTTCCAAGTAGCTGGAACCACAAGCACACGCCACCATGCTTGACTAATTTTATGATTTATTGTAGAGATGCGGTCTCGCCATGTTGCCCAGGCTGTTCTCAAACTTCTGGGCTGAGCCAGTCCTCCCACCTTGGCTTCCTGAGTACCTGTGGAACTACAGGCATGAGCTACCACACTCAGTTAACTTTCATGTTTTATTTAACTAATTTTTAATTTAAAGAGTTTTTCTCAAGCGGGGCACAGTGGCTCATGCCTGTAATCCCAGCATTTTGGGAGGCGGAGGCAAGAGCATTACCTGAGCCCAGGGGTTTGAGACCAACCTGGGCGACATGGCAAGACCTCGTCTCTACAATAAATCAAAAAATTATTCGGGCATGGTGGCATGTACCTGTAGTTCCAGCTACTTAGAAGGCTGAGGAGGGCTGGGCTCAGTGGCTCAGCCTGTAATCCCGTGCCTTTGGGAGGCTGAGGTGAGTGGATTGCCTGAGCCCACGGGTTCGAGACCCGCCTGGGCAACTTGGCGAGACCTCATCTCCACAATAAATCAAAAATTAGCCAGGTGTGGTAGCACGCGCCTGTAGTTCCAGCTACTTGGAAGGCTGAAGCAGAAGGATCGCCGGCGCCCAGCAGGCGAGGCTGCGGTGGCCGGGAGCGGCCACTGCACTCCAGCCTGGGCGACAGAGTGAGACTCCAACTCAAAAAAAAAAAAAAAAAGAAGGCTGAGGAGGAAGGATCACCTGAGCCCAGCAGGTCGAGACTGCAGTGGCCATGAACATGCCACTGCACTTCAACCTGGGTGACAGAGTGAGACTCTGACTCAAAAAAAAACCCAAAAACTAAAAAAGAGCTTTTCTCTGTTCTAAATTTAGGTAAATATTTGCCCATTTCTTCCAGTTCTATTTTACTGTCACAGTACTCTAGAAGTACTTATCTTCTTATTTCTCACTGATTTGAATTGACACTTTTATCATGTGCTAAAAATCAGTAGTCTTGCTTATGTCTATTTTTTAAATTAACTTTAATTTTGAAATAATTTCAGATGTACACAGAATTACAAAATAACTCATATATCCTTCACTTAGACTCACTAATTGTTAACTATTTTTGCTTTATTATTTTTTATCTGCTGCCTCCTCCACGTTTCAGATACAGAGATAGATAGATTATAGATGGATGAATGATTGACAGACATAAATTTTTTTCCCTGGACCATTTGAAATAGGTTGCAGATATCGTTTCCCTTTATCTGTAAAAACAAAGACATCCTCTTACTTGTTTAAGTTTTATTTTTATTTATTTATTTAGAGATAGTGTTTTGCTCTCTCAACAAGACTGGAGTGCAGGGGCCGAATCATAATTTACTACAGCCTTGAACTTCTGGGCTCAAGCGATCCTTCCACCTCAGGTTCTTGAGCAGCTGGGACTAGAGGCGTATGCCATTGTGCCCAACTCTATATTTTCTTTTCTTTTCTTTTCTTTTTTTTTGAGTTGGAGTCTCACTCTGTCGCCCAGACTGGAGTACAGTGGCACGCTCTCGGCCACCACAGCCTCAACCTGCTGGGCTCCGGCGATCCTTCTGCCTCAGCCTTCCAAGTAGCTGGAACTACAGGCACACGCTACCATGCCCAGCTAATTTTTTGATGAGGTCTCGCCAAGTTGCCCAGGCAGGTCTTGAACCCGCGGGCTCAGGCAGTCCACTCACCTCACCCTCCCAAAGCGTGGGATTAAAGGCTAAGCCACTGAGCCCAGCCCAACCCTATATTTTCTTACATATAGCTGCAGTAAATTGTCAAAATCAGGAAACATAACAGTTATACAGTATTAGAACTTATTACATCTTCTATATTCACATTTGCCAGGCATCTCTTTTTAGCCATCTTCCTCCAAATAGGACCCAGTCCAGGATCCTATGCTGCATCTGGCTCCTGTGTTTTTGTCCTTTAGCCTGGAACACTTCCTCGGCCTTTTGTTGTCTTTTTTGAAAAGTCTAGGCAGTATTATTGTTGGGTGTGTGTGTGTGTGTGTGTGTGTGTGTGTGTGTTGTTTGTTTGTTTTTGAGTCAGAGTCTCTGTTGCTCATGCTGGAGTACAGTGGTGCGCTCACAGCTATCGCAGCCTTGACCTGCTGGGCTCAGGTGATCCTTCCACCTCAGCCTTCCAAGTAGCCGAGACTATAGGCACATGCTACCACGTCCAGCTAATTTTTTTATTTATTGTAGAAACAAGGTCTCTCCAAGTTGCCCAGGCTGCTCTTGTAACCTTGGGCTCAGGCAGTCCTCTCACCTTTACCTCCCAAAGTGGGATTACAGTGTGAGCCACTGCACCTGGCTAGACAGTGTTTTGTAGACTATGGGTCTGTCTGTCTGACACTGCATCTTTGTGAGATTCAGGTTCTGTATTTATTTTGGAGTTTTCTAGCTAGTTATCTGTTATTGAATTGGTGCAATGCTGCTTTAAGTACTGAAACTTTGTGCTGAAATCTGCATTGATTACTTAAACTTCCAAATATGTGTCAGAAGAAATCTTTCCTCATCAGCAAAGAGACGTGCCTGTTATCCATTATGGCTTAATATGTACATTGTTATCTAGACCTTGACTCCTTCTACTATATTAAATACTTCATTAAACTTTTTTTTTAGTTAGAGTCTCACTCCGTCGCCCAGGCTAGAGTGCAGTGGCATGCTCACGGCCACCCCAGCGTTGACCTGCTGGACTCAGGCAATCCTTCTGCCTCAGCTTTCCAGATCTACAAGCGTGCACTACCACACCTGGCTAATTTTTTTTTTTTTTTTTTTTTTTTGAGTGGAAGTCTCACTCTGTCACCCAGACTGGAGTGCAGTGGCCGCTTCCGGCCACCGCAGCCTCGACCTGCTGGGCTCTGGCAATCCTTCCGCCTCAGCCTTCCAAGTAGCCGGAATTACAGGCATGCGCCACCACGCCCGGCTGATTTTTTGATTTATTGTAGAGATGAGGTCTCGCTGCCCAGGCGTGTCTCGAACCCGCGGGCTCAGGCAATCCACTCACCTCAGCCTCCCAAAGGCGCGGGATTACAGGCTGAGCCACCGAGCCCGGCTGTAATTTTTTTAATTTACTGTAGAGATGAGGTCTCGCCAAGTTGCCCAGGCTGATCTTGAACCCATGGGCTCAGGCAATCCTCTCACCTCGGCTCCCAAAGTGCTGGTATTGCACACTTGAGCCACCACATCCGGCCCTATTAAACTTTATTAATATCTTCCAAAGTACAAAACGATCATGTATTCATTGTGCCCCGTGAAATAACTCTTTTTTTTTTAGTTGGAGTCTCATTCTGTCACCCAGGCTAGAGGGCAGTGGCATACTCCTGGCTACCACAGCCTCGACCTGCTGGGCTCAGGCGATCCTTCTGCTTCAGCCTTCCAAGTAGCTGGAACTACAGGCACGCACCACCATGCCCGGCTAATTTTTTGATTTATTGTAGAGATGAGGTCTTGCCAAGTTGCCCAGGCTGATCTCGAACCCGTGTGCTCAGGCAGTCCTCTCACCTCAGCCTCCCAAAGTGCTGCGATTATAGGCGTGAGACACTGCACCCAGCCGCAATAACTCTTAAAACTTGAGAAAAGAAGACTCCATGGGCCCCCCTTTTTGGTTCCTCTTTATTTCTAATAGTAAATGGTGCCATATATGAAGACATAGGAAGAAAATATAGAAAAAAAACTCCTACAAACTGATAAGAAAAAGACCAACCCAGAAAAAAACAAGCAAAGGACATGATCAGAAACCACAGAGGGAGAAGCTTCAGGGAGTCAGTAAGCATGCAGCGGTGCTCATGGTTACTAGTGCTCAGAGAACTAGGAATTAGACCCAAAGATATGCATATATTACTTGGGCAAAAAAACTAAATGTCGGTCAACTATAGGCAGAGAAGAGCTCTGCAGTCATGGTTGTGGGTATGCTTGTGCTGCCAGGAAGAGACGGATGTAGGCTGGTCCCAGGGCCTCCCTTCTGGCTACCTGCTGCTGCCTCAGTGCTGCACACACCCAGCTACTTTTAATTTTTCTGTTTTCTTCCACATTTCCTTCCCATGCCCCTTAAGTAATGCTCCCCAATGTTCCCTGCCAGCTCCTTTTTCTCGGTCTTTCCTCCAGAGGGTGGATGTCATGAAGCGTTTGGATGCAAGGTGGGCAGAGGCACCAGTTATGGACCAAAGATGCAGGACCAGCCCAGGCAATGCCTTGGGCCACTCATGTGCCCATCTTGGGCCTGAAGCTTGCACCCAGGCCAGGGTCATGCACAGGCTGTCCTGACCTTGCAGAAGAGGCTTCTGCATAATGTTTAGGTGCTTGGTACTAGCAGCCTCCCCTCTCCCAGAAGGATGTAAGGGGTACTTAGGAGGATTTTAGGGGGCTTGTTGAATTCATCCTGGCTAGTGGAAGCGAGCATGTCCCTTCCTTTTGGCCTGTTATCAAATGGAGTAAGTCCTTAATACCAGAAATGTGGGGACAGTGTTTCTTCTGAATTTCTTTTATTTAAATTTCCTTGACAGGATGCTAAGAATGCAAAGAAAGAATGTTTTTCTGAATACTCGGGGAAGAGCCATCCCCACTCAGCACAGACAGTCAGCAGAAGTGATGCCCTGCAAGGCCACAAGGCAGGAGCAGCAGTGCCCATTCAGGTATAGTTGGGTGGGGTTAGCACATATTTCAGCCAGGGACACTGGGAGGCTGGGTGCTTGAGTGGCTTAGAAGGTAGCCATTGCTCTGTGTGCCTGCCTGTGTCTTGTCCCCAGAGCTTCACACAGAGTGGACTGAAGAACATTTGCCTGTGGTCCAACAAGGGTATTAGGGTGGTCAGTGGGAAGACCCTCGGACTCCTAAAGTGCACAGGACCACAGCGACCTTTCTTCTCTGTGCAGCTAGAGAGATGGCGCCCCAGGGCATCTGCCCTTTGTTTTATCCTCTCCTCCATTGACTGGGTAGCCCTTACCCAAGACTTGTTTTAACCTCTAAATGTACAGGGGTGCCCTGTGATTTAGGCACTGCTAACACTTACTGTTCCCAGACCTGAGACTCACTCTCCTGATGTGCTATCTTTCTCTAGTCGCTTCTCCTGCATGGTCTTGGAAGTGTCTCCCTAAAGGCCTATCTTTGAGTCAGGCCCACTGTCTTCTCACTGATCTGAGGGGAGCACTGTAGGAGCCCTGTTTCTTCCTCCAGCTGGAAAGAGGGAGGCTTTCAAGGATGATAATGTCTTTTCTAACTTTTGTAGAAGCAACATAAAATCCCCATAGTGACCTGCAAATCAGCTTATCAGAAAGAAAACAGATCTCCAAAGCCACCCCAGGCCCAAGAATCCCCTGAGGAAAATGGCCACCACACCCAAAGATCCTCATCATTTGCCAGCAGTTCCCTCCAGGACACATGGAAGTTGCTAGACCTGGGATCCAGTCCTTCTGGCCTCACCTCCCAAGATGACTCAGTTCCAGGTAGGAGAAAGTGCTCCTTTCCCAGACTGCTGTCCAGTAGGTCTGGGTGACAGCGGCATCACGGTGCTGAGGCTACATTCATTCCTACATGTTGAAAACTCCTGTGTTCTGGCTTTAGTCACATATAAATCCCTCAGTCTTCTTTTTTTTTTTTTTATTTGAGTTGGAGTCTCACTCTGTCGCCCAGACTGGAGTGCAGTGGCCACTCCCGGCCACCGCAGCCTCAACCTGCTGGGCTCTGGCGATCCTTCCGCCTCAGCTTTCCAAGTAGCTGGAACTACAGGCACATGCTACCACGCCCGGCTGATTTTTTATTTTTATTGTAGAGATGAGGTCTGCCAAGTTGCCCAGGCGAGTCTCGAACCCGCGGACTCAGGCAATCCACTCACCTCAGCCTCCCAAAGGCGCGGGATTACAGGCTGAGCCACCGAGCCCGGCTCCCTCAGTCTTCTTACCTCTCATTTGGGGCCTGAGTGTTTCCCTAGTATAGAGCGCAAAGCCCTGAAGGGCAGAAACTAGCCTTTTGGCACAGTGTCGTGAAGGTGCATGTTGTGTATTTTACTTAGATTGGAATTCACGAGAGATGAGCAGGATCATTTCTCTGCATGCAGTTGATGCCTTTTGGACCATCCTGTTATGTTACCATAGAAGAGACAGGCAGTTCTCTGAGCTTTGCTTAGTCTCACAAACCCAGTGAAGCTTCAGATCATGTTTCCATCCTGCCTTGCTGCCCTACATCTCTGCCCTCATACTCTTATCTGTCACCTAAATCACATGCCTGGTCAATTCAACAGGTTATAACGTTAGTTCATGCAAGTGGTCATCATAAACTTTTCAGGAAAATCTGAAGGGCCCACCTTTGGGGAAACTACATGAGATCAAGGTGTGGCAAGAATGGTGGAGGGAGGAAAATGTTCTTTCAAGATAATTGGAGGCACATAAATGTGAGATGTACATGACAGTGTAAACTTGTACTCCTTCCTGTGTCAGTATGCAGAGAGCAACCTGGTTCTGGTCTCACAGCTACAGAGTGTTCTGTCATGGGGCTGTGCCCACATTTCTTTGGCCACTCTCTCCTCAACAGACATTTTAGGTTATTTCCAAACCTTTGCCACTACAAATAGGGTTATAGTGAATAGCCTTGTACATATGCTGTAGTGCATGTGTGCAAATATATTTGTAAGTGTCCAAGGGGCTTGCTTTGTTAAAAGGCAGATTTTGGCCGGGCTCGGTGACTCAGCCTGTAATCCCAGCACTTTGGGAGACCGAGGCGAGTGGATTGCCTAAGCCCATGGGTTCAAGACCAGCCCAGGCAACTTGGTGAGACCTTATCTCTACAATAAATCAAAAATTAGCTGGGCTTGGTAGTGCGCACCTGTAGTTCCGGCTACTTGGAAGGTTGAAGCAGAAGATTTACCGGAGCCTAGCAAGTCAACGCTGGGGTGGCCGTGAGTGTACCACTGCACTCCAGCCTGGGTGACAGAGTGAGACTCTGACTCAAAAAAAAAAAAGGTAGATACCTTTCTAATTCTTGTAGATATCATCATATTGGCCTCCTTTGAGAGTGCACTAGTTCCTGCTCCTACCAGCAATGTCTGAGGGCGCTTTTCTCCAAAGCCTCTCCAGCACAGTGTGATCTACTTTAACCTTTGCCAATCTAATAGGGTTGTTTTAATGAGCATTTCTGTTAGGAGTTTTGAATTTCTTCATATATTTATACACAATTTTTTTTTTGAGAAGGTGTCTCATTTTTTGCCAAGGGCTGGAGTGCAGTGGCACAATCATGACTCACTGCAGCCTGGACCTCCTAGGTTCGGGCGATCCTTTTCCCTCAGCCTCCAGAGTAGCTGGGACTATAGGTGCATGCCACCTCACCTGGTTAGTTTTTTAAATTTTTTGTAGAGATGAGGAATTGCTATGTTGCCTAGGCTGCTCAAGCAGTCCTCCCACCTTGGCCTCCCAGAGTGCTGAGATTACAGACATGAGCCACCACACCCAGCTCTTTTCATATGCTTAAGAGCCATTTCCTTTTCCTGTTCTTTAATTCTCTTCTCTACCCATTTATATATTGGGCTGTGAATTTATTGATTTACAGGAGCTCATTATATGTGATAGAAATTAGGCCTTTTCTGACCAAAATTCAAATATTTTCCCACAGTTGTTTTTTTTTTTTTTTTTGAGTCAGTCTCACTCTGTCACCCAGGCTGGAGTGCAGTAGCACACTTACAGCCACTGTAGCCTCGACCTGCTGGGCTCAGGTAATCTTCCACCTCAGCCTTCCAAGAAACTGGAACTATAGGCACATGTCACCATGCCTGGCTAAGTTTTTGATTTATTGTAGAGATGAGGTCTCACTAAGTTGCCCAGGCTGGTCTCAACCCCCTGTGCTCAGGCAGTCCTCTCATCTCCACCTCCCAAAGTGCTGGGATTACAGGTGTGAGCTACCGCGGCTGGCTGCCCAGTTTTTTGTTTTGTTTTGTTCACTTTTCTTAGATTTTTCTATTTGTTATTTTATTTTTTTATTTATATATTTTATTTTTTGAGTTGGAGCCTCACTCTGTCACCCAGGCTAGAGGGCAGTGGCCTGCTGGGCTCAGGCAATCGTCTCACCTCAGCCTCCCAAAGTGCTGGGATTATAGGCATGAGCCACCGTGGTAGGCCATGGTTTTTTTTAAATGCACATATTTTAAATTTTCCATGTAGTTAAATTAATATCCTTGTTTTTTATTCTTTCTAGATTTTATGACATACTTAGGCCACTCCAAGTTTATTCTCCCATTTCTTTGGATTCATCTCTGATTTTTTGTTGTTGTTGTTAGTTTAAATCCATGATATATTTGGAATTTATTTATTTATTTATTGAGTTGTTTTTTTTTTTTTGAGTTGTGAATTTATCATGGTATCTGTTATGAAGTTAGAACCAAACTTTTTTTTAGCCTCAGATGACTATTGAGATGTCCCAATGGCAGTTATTGAGTAACCCATATTTCCCCACATATATGAAATCTCATTCTCATTGTGATGCCGAATAGTCCATGTGTGTCTGGGTGTGTGTCTGGACTGTTTACTTGACTCCACTGATCCCCTGTTCTGTTTACATGCAGTACAGTATTGTTTGAATCAGTATCACTTCCTGGTCCCATTTAATGTCTGGCTGATATAGGATTATCTCTTTATAACTTCTTTCTCGGAATTTTCTTGGTTATACTTATTTCTTTATTTATTTGTTTATTTGTTTGTTTTTTGAGTCTGAGTGTCACTCTGTCGCCCAGGCTGGAGTGCAGTGGCACGCTCACAGCCACTGCAGCCTTGACCTGCAGAGCTTAGTGATCTTTTTGCCTCAGCCTTCCAAGTAGCTGGAACTACAACTGCATGCCACCATACCCGGCTAATTCTTTTATTTATTGCAGGGTTGAGGTCTCGCCAAGTTGCCCAGGCCAGTCTTGAACCCTTGGACTCAGGCAATCCTCTCACCTCTGCCTCCCAAAATGCTGGGATTACAGGCATGAGTCACTGAGCCTGGCTTCATTTATTTATTTTTTTCCATATAATCTGTAGACTTGGCTTGTCTAAGTCTGGTTTTCCCAGTCCTCCCCCAAACTCTGTAGTTAGTTTTCTTAGGATTCATTAAATTTATGTTCTGATTTAGAAAGAAATGAAGTTGTATTTATTTTTGTCTTCAACTTACATTGTATCTCATCCTGTTTTCCTGACACTTCTGGCCAGAGCACTATGTGCCACCATTGTGCTCTTGATTCTTCCAGGTACTGCTTAGTTGCTTTTTTTTTTTAGTCAGAGTCTCATTCTTCCACCCAGGCTGGAGTGCAGTGGCAGGCTCACAGCTACCGCAGCCTTGACCTGCTGGCCCAGGCGATCCTTCTACCTCAGACTTTCAAGTAGCTAGAACTACAGGCGCACACCACCACACCCATTAATATATTGGTTTGGTTGTAGAGACAAGATTTCACCAAGTTGTCATCGTTATCCTTTTCCTCCTTCTCCTCCTCCTCCTTTTGCTTTTAGATAACTTACAAGAATAGGGGAAGGAATGCCAACTTCATTTTTTATTTTTTCAGTTGGAGTCTCACTCTGTTGCCCAGGCTTGAGTGCAGTGGCACACTCACAGCCACAGCAGCCTCTACCTGCTAGGCTCAAGTGATCCTTCCGCCTCAGCCTTCCAAGTAGTTGGAACTACAGGCACGTGCCACCATGCCCGGCTAATTCTTTGATTTATTGTAGAGAATGAAGTCTTGCCAAGTTGCCCAGGCTGGTCTCGAACCTGTGGACTCAGGCAGTCCTCTCACCTCTTCCTCCCAAAGTGCTGGGATTATAGGTGTGAGCCACCATACCCTGCCTGGAATACTAACTTTATTGATGCTTTCTTTGACCAGGCTCAGTCTGTAATACCAGCACTTTGGGAGGCCAAAGCAAATGGATCACCGGAGCTCACAGGTTCAAGATCAACCTGCACAACTTGGCAAGACTTTGTCTCTACAATAAAAATCAAAAATTAGTCGGGCGCGGTAGTGTGGGCCTGTAGTTCTGGCTACTTGGAAGGCTGAAGTGGAAGGATCATCAGAGCCTAACAAGTCAACGCTGGGGTGGCTGTGAGCATGCCACGGCACTCCAGCCTGGGTTATGGAGTGAGACTGCAATTAAAAAAATTAATAATGCCTTCTTAAGTCAGAAATTTGTCTTGTTTTCTGATAAATGCAATCAAAGAAATGCATATTCCTCCGAGTACTGCTTTGCATTAGCCATGTCCCACAAATCTTGACATCTAATGTTTCCTTTATCATTCCCTTATAGTACTTATAAGGCAACTCATATTTTGTTTTATCACAAATGGAATTTTTCTTTAAGTTTTCATATCTGTGGAATTTGTTTTTAGCTGTCAGTGTTGTCTAATACTTTTACATTTTGATCAAAGAATAATTACCATGATGTTAGTTCTTCTGAGAGAGAAACATTCTTCAATTACAATTATTGTTCATCCATTT